TATGTTAACTGAAATAAGCCAAGCACAGAAGGACAAATATCACATGTTCTCACTCATATGTGGGAGCTAATAATTTTGATCACACGGAGATATAAAATGAAATAATTGATCCCAGTAACTGGGAGGAGTGCATGGGTGGGGATGGTAGGGGATAAAAAGAGGTTGGTTAATGGGTACAAACATAGAATTAGGTAGAAGGAGTACGTTCTAACGTCTGGTAACAGAACGGGGTGACTATGATTAACAAACATTTATCAATATTATATTTTTCAAAACAGCTAGAAGATCTATAATGTACCCAACACGTAGAAATGATAAATACTCAGGTACTGAATACCTAAGTACTTTGACGTGATCATTCATAGTCGTTCTAAAACTTCACATGTACCCCATAAATATGTACAAATATAGATCAAAAATAAAATTTACAAAAATTAAATGCAATAATGCACACAAAGGTGTAGGAAATAATAAATGAATTTATGTTGTCAGTAAATATTCACTATTATTATATTCACCACTATATTTTGGTGCTAAATAGGCACCAAGTATTGTACTCAGCATTTAACTTACATTTTATTTAGTCTTCACAATAACCCCTACATTATGATAAATCATATTAACCTTTAAAGAACCGAGATTGGCCAGGCGTGGTGGCTCACGCCTGTAATCCCAGCACTTTGGGAGGCCGAGGAAGGTGGATCACGAGGTCAACAGATCGAGACCATCCTGGTCATCATCCGTCTCCACTAAAAATACAAAAAATTAGCTGGGCATGGTGGCGCGTGCCTGTAATCCCAGCTACTCAGGAGGCTGAGGCAGGAGAATTGCCTGAACCCAGGAGACAGAGGTTGCGGTGAGCCGAGATTGCGCCATTGCACTCCAGCCTGGGTAACAACAGCAAAACTCCGTCTCAAAAAAAAAAAAAAAAAAAAAAGAACCGAGATTAATTTGTTAAAATAATTTTCTCAGTGATCTATTCATCCAGTTAGCCAATGTTGGATCCATATATAAATCTGGTCCTATTTGATTCAAAAATAATTGGGAAAATTAACCAGGTACAGTGGTGCATACCAGTAGTCCCAGCTACTTGACAGGCTGAGGTGGGGGGACCACCTGAGCCCAGGAGGCAGAGGTTGTAGTAAGCAGAGATCATGCTGCTGTACTCCAGTCTGGGTGACAGAGGGAGACACTGTCTTAAAAAAAAAAAAAAAAAAAAAAGGAAGTTTTCACTTTATGAGAGTGAATTATATTTCAAGTGTTCCACAGAATTTATTCAAAATGAAGCATTGGCTAGGTAAAAATTAATTTCTTAGGTATCACAATTCAGCTTTTGTTGTTTTGTTATTTTTTATTTTTATTTTTTTTTGAGACGGAATTTCGCTGTTGTTACCCAGGCTCCAGTGCAATGGCACGATCTCGGCTCACCGCGACCTCCGCCTCCTGGGTTCAAGCAATTCTCCTGCCTCACCCTCCCGAGTAGCTGGGATTACAGGCGCGCGCCACCATGCCCAGCTAATTTTTGTATTTTCAGTAGAGACGGAGTTTCACCTCGTTGACCAGGATGGTCTCGATCTCTTGACCACGTGATCCACCCGCCTCCGCCTCCCAAAGTGCTGGGATTATAGGCGTGAGCCACCGCACCCGGCCTGTTTTGTTATTTTAATAAAGATAAAAATTTTTTAAAGTCAATGTAGAAAACCAGGGGCTGAAAGAAACAAACCTCATGGCTCAATAAACAAGCCAAGTGAATCTAAACTTACTCGTCAAAAATATATTTTTATTATAAAATATTTCAAGCATTCAAAAGTTACAGAGTATAATATAGTGAATTTTCATGTCTATATTGAGATTTAACACATCAAAAATTTTCCATATATTTTTCAAGAAATAAAACATTACTGATGGAGTTGAAGCTCTAAGTCCATTGCATATCCTGCTTCTCCCCTTCCACAGCAGTAACTCCTGTCCTGAAGTTGGTATGTATACCTCTTAACTGGGTTTCTCCTTGTATAAATAAACCATATATAACGTTGTTTCCTTAATTTTAAATTCCACATAAACTCTATCATACTGTATATATTCTGCAACTTGCTTTTTGTTTCTTCATCATGCTTTTACAGTTAATATGTGGTTTTTTTTTTTGTTTTTTGTTTTTTTTTTGAGACGGAGTTTCGCTCTTGTTACCCAGGCTGGAGTGCAATGGCGCCATCTCGGCTCACTGCAACCTCCGCCTCCTGGGTTCGGGCAATTCTCCTGCCTCAGCCTCCTGAGTAGCTGGGATTACAGGCACGCGCCACTGTGCCCAGCTAATTTTTGTATTTTTTGTAGAGACCGGGTTTCACCATGTTGACTCGGATGGTCTCCATCTCTTAACCTCATGATCCACCCACCTCGGCCTCCCAAAGTGCTAGGATTACAGGCTTGAGCCACCGTGCCTGGCCAATTATGGCCATTCTTGAAGGAGCAAGGTGGTATCTCATTGTGGTTTTAAATTGCATTTCCCTGATAATTAGTGAAATGCAAGTGAAGGATATCTTGATTGCTTGCAAGTTTGGGCAGTTATGAATAAAGCTGCTATAAACATTGTGTGCAGATATAAACCTGTGTTTGGATGTAAGTTTTTAACTCCTTTGGGAAAATACCAAGAATTGCATTTACTGGATTGTAAAAGTGTGTTTAGTTTTGTGAGAAATTATCAAACTGTTTTCCAAAGTGGTTTTACCATTGTACATTTCTACCAGCGATGAATGAGGGTTCCTATTTCTCCACATCGTCAGCATTTGGTGTTGCCGGTGTTGCCAGTGTTCTGGACTTGGCCATTCTGAAAGATGTGCACTGGTATCTCATTATTACTCTTATTTGCATTTCCATGATTTAAAATTTGATCATCTTTTCATATGCTTATTTGCCATCTTCATTGGTTAGGTCTTTGTTCAAGTCTTTTGCTCATTTTTAAAGTCAGGATGTTCATTTTCTTATTGCTGAATCTTAAAAGCTCTTTATATGTTTTGGATAACAATCTTTTTTAAAATGTGTCTTTGCAAAATTTTCTCCAACTCTATGGCTTATTCTCATTCTGTTTCACAGAGTAGACGTTTGTAATTTTCATGAAGTTCAGCATATCAGTGATTTCTTTCATGAATCATGCCTTTCATTTGTATTTTAAAAAGTCACCACCATATTCATGTTAATCTAGGTTGTGTCCTGGTTATGTTCTGGAAGTTTTACCTTTTTGCATTTTAAAATTAGGTCTATAATTTATAGTGGGTTCCCTTTTATGAAGAGTATAAAATCTATGTCTTAAGATTCATGTTTTTGTTTGTGGATGTCCGGTTGCTTCAGCACCATTTGTTCAAAGTCTATTGTTTATTGTATTGCTTTTGCTCCTTTGTCAAGGATCAGTTGACTCTATCTAGGTCTACTTCTCAGCTCTCTTTTCTGTTCTATTGACCTATTTGTCTATTCTTCATCAATATCACAATGCCTTGATCACTGCAGCTTTATAGTAAGTCTTGAAGTGGCGCCGTTTAAATTGTTCAGCTTTGTTCTCCTTTAATATTTTGTTGACTATTGTGGGTTCTTTGCATTTTTATGTAAACTTTCCAATTAGTTTTTCAATATCCACAAAATAACTTTCTGGTTTTCATGGGGAGTGTATTGGATCTATAGATCAAGTTGGAAAGAAGTGATATTTTCACAATAATGAATTTTCCTATCCATTATCTATGAGCATAAAATATCTCTTCATTATTTAGCTCTTCTTTGACTTTATTAATCAGAATTTTTAGTTTTATCATATAGATATGGTATATTTTTTAAGATTTATGCCTAGGTATTTCATTTTTGGAAGTGCTGATATAAATGAAATTAATTTTTTAGTTTTAAATTTTATTTGTTTATTGCTGGGATATAGGAAAGTGACTGACTTTTGTATATGAACCCTGTAATCTGCAACCTCACTTACTAGTTTTAAGAGGTTTTTGGATGATTCTTTTGGATTTTCCACAGAGATGGTCATGTCATCTATGAACAAAGACAATTTTCTGCTTTTCTGCCAGTTGTTTTTTTCTTTCCCGATGTATATGCCTTTTATTTCATTTTCTTGTCTTACTGCATGAGCTGGTACTTTCAGTACAATGTTGAAAGCAGAGGTAAGACAGACATCTTTGCATTTTCTTGATCTTAGCAGGAAATCTTTGAGTTTCTTGTCAGTTAGTAGAAAATCTTTTTCAAGTTGAGGAGATTTCCCTCTATTTCTAGTTTATCAACAGATTTTTTTTTAAATCATTCATTGGTATTGGATTTTGTCAAATGCTTTTTCCACATCCATTAATATGATTATGTGATTTTTTTATTTTTAGCCTGTTGAAAAAACTATTTTTATAGTTTTAAAAGGTTGTTTATTGTCTTTATGCATTTTTGATGAATAATTCACTCCTGTGGCTTCAGTTTCAACTATTTGATACTCTCAAATATCAATCTGTTTCCAGATGTTTAGTCTACTGACTTTTGGATGTTTCCAGTAACTACTCTACAAAGAAAAGCTGTATTTAAAAATTGGAGTTATTAAACCAGAATACGTATAACTATAATTCATCTAAAATTAGTAGAATAAAAAGGAAAAGAAGGGAATATGGCAAAGGTTAAGTTATTGTTTGGTTGATATGTGTGTGAATATGTGTCTGTGTGTTTCTTTATCATAAACTGTATTTATTTAATGTAATCTTTGAACCCAAAAAGCATTTTAAAATTATGCTTGTCAAAGGTATTTTTATATTAACTCGATCACTTTTTCAAAGTATTTGTTCAACAATGGAGTGAGTAATTCAATTCTGGCCAACAGTATTTTAGGAAAATTTCTCATTCTTGAAACGGATGAGAGGGCCATCCTTCTGTCTCTGCTTAAAGACGCCAAGGCAGCTTATGCATTTTAATAGCTGTTTTGAGACAATGAGGGAACTCAACCTCTGGACAAAGACAAAGAGTGTTAAGACATTTTCTACAATAAAAAAAATTACAGATCTCACAACGTCTTCAAAGATAAAGAAAAATTCAAAGTCCTTAAAAGTGTGGTGCAGAAGAAATCTGAAATGGAACACTCTAAATATAAAAAGTTTTACTTCACAAGACCAATTTTCTTGGCTTCTGTTTCATATATCAATAATCTCCACATTTTGACTATAAAAACTTCTGCTTCATCAAGTACCATGGCAACATCATCTAAAATGCTCTGGGGTGAACTATGAGGCATAACCTTAGAAGAAACAAAATCAACTAATGTAGCTTCTTCTTCACCTATATATTCTATGATTTTCTTATTAATCCATGGTCTAATTCGATGTTCCATCAGTATAGAATCCACAATACACCAATCCAGGGGATAAGCAAAGAGCTCAGGTTTGGCTGTAGGGATTTTCTCAATGAGACTCTTAATGTGTTTACGCTTTTCTTCAGTGTTTACGGTGACTTTGGCTGCATTTTTATCATCTTCACCATAATCATAATCCAAGGGGACCAGTTTCCTTTTTTGTGATACGTCATCACTGTCTTCATCTTCAAATTTGTTAAAGACACTATCTACAGGTAGTTTCTTTCTCTTCACAGAATTAGGCTGACCAGGACTATTGGAAGCACCCAGTTTAAGACTTAATCCTATTTTTGGCCTATGCTCCTCCGGTTGCTGTTGATCTGGTGAATTTTCATGAGGAATAATAATACCACAGGGAGACTCATCCCCAGGAGTGTTGGGTGTTGTATTGCCACTGGCAGAGGAAAGAGACGGAACAGAGCTGATGGGCCTCAGAGTAGGTTTGAGACAAGGCTTTTGCTCTGGCTCTTCTTCCTCTTCCATGGGTTCTTCTCGTTTTTCTTCTTTTTCTTGCTTTTCTTCTTCCTCCTCTTCTGATTCTGGCTCTTGCTTTATTTGTGGCTGCCTGCGCCTCTCAGCCTCTTGTTCCATCCTCTGGAGCTCTGCATCTGGATCTGGATGCCCTTCTGCCAGAAGGCGTTGCCTGATTTCTTCAAGCTCCTCCTTCTCTCTCTTCCTATCTCGTTCATCTGCTTCCATTTCCTTTTCTCTATCACGCAACCTTTTCTGAAGAGCACTTCCTCTGTAATATTTGGGGTCATCTCTATCATCATCATAGTCTTCTAAGAATTCTTTTAGTCGTTTGGCTTCTTTGGCCATTTCTCTTCTTTCTTCTTCTCTTTCAGCTTCTTTCTCATATTCCCGGGTTTTCTTTCGTTCTCTAATTTCCCAATTTTTAAGGCGCTCTTGATAAGCAGCTTCTTTCTCTCGGAGTTTTCTTTCAAGTTTTCTTCGTTCATATGCATCTTCATCTTCTTCTCCGTCCCGTTTTTTGTCTTTTTCTCGTTCTCGCTCCCGTTCCCTGTCTCGCTCTCTCTCTCACGCGCGCGCGCTCCCGTTCTCGTTCTCGCTTTCGTTCTCTCTCTCTCTCTCTTTCCCGCTCTCGTTCGTTCCCTTTCGCGATCTCTACTTTTTTCTCTTAATCGACTTCGATCCTTATTACGATCTGAGCTCCTTTCTCGATTCCGGTCACGACCTCCCTCTCGATCCCTATCTCGGTCTCTCTCTGTTGTCCGGTCACGGTCCCTATCCCGTTCTCGTTCCCGCTCCCGTTCCTTCTTCTCTCCTTCACGTTCTCTTTCCCTTTCACGCTCCCTCTCTCTTTATCTCCGTTCTTTCTCAATTTCCTGTCTTTCTTTTTCCTTCTTTCCTTTCTCTTCTTCCAGTTTCTTATGTGTGTCTGAATTTGCTGATCTCTCGCGATATCAGGTCTCTTTTGTCTTCTTCCATTTCTATAGCATTTATATCCTCCTTAGTGATGAGTGGATAAGGGATCAGTCGGGCCCTGGAAATCTGCGGAAAATGTCCTCTTTCTTTTCCTTCTCTTCTTCCTGGGGTGAGAATCAGATTCCTGTGAGGGGGCATTTAGCTCACTGGAGTATTCACGTATTAAAACTTCAATGACCCCTTTAATCATCGGATCTCTCCTCTTTGTTTCTTCATCCAAGGCTTCCTCATCGTCATTAGTGACAGTTTCTGGCCTTGCATTCCCATTAGAAGCTTTCTTCTTTGCTTTCCATCCATCCAGCTGTGCCTTGGTCTTTGCATCAACTGTAACGAGTAGCTTTTTCTCTCCAATTTGCAGGTCATGTAATAATCTGAGTGCATGGAGAGTAGATTCTGGCTCCTTGTACTCACAGAATCCGAAAGCTTGAAGTTTTCCGGAAGCACCTTGTACTCTCTTCCAGCTCAAAACCAAACCACATTTAGCTAAGAGCTGTCTCATAAGCATGTCTGAGGCTTTCTCAGAAATGTTACCAACAAAAACGGTAGTAGTGGGACCACAATTTTCATCATTTTCTTTAGTCTTTAAGCCTGGATGATCCTTTCTTGCGCCCAAATGCTTTCCAACCATAGACACAGTGGGTACTAGGACAGCTGGAGCAGGAGCCATAATGCTCATTGGTACAGGAATCATTGGGGTCGCTGGAGGTACAGGTGGAGGAAATCCTGGAAACTGCGGGGGTGGGATCCCTGGTGGGAATGCTGAGATCCCCATGGGAGGACGATTCAAATGAGGGAGAAAAGACATTCTTACTGCAGCAGTCCGCCGCTGAGAAAGCGGTACTGCCTTTTCGGCCTTCGGGGATCCAGATTATGGGTGTGCTCCACTGGTTCGAGGTTTCGGCGCGCCGCTCGCCCGGGAGAGTGAGTGCTGAAGCGCCTACTCGCACAGGCCGCAAACACAATCGCACTGCGCGGGGAGCTGCTGGAGCATTGCTATTTTTTTTTTTTTTTTTTTTTTTTTTTGAGACGGAGTTTCACTCTTTTTACCCAGGCTGGAGTGCAATGGCGCGATCTCGGCTCACCCCAACCTCCGCCTCCTGGGTTCAGGCAGTTCTCCTGCCTCAGCCTCCTGAGTAGCTGGGATTACAGGCATGAGCCACCATGCCCAGCTAATTTTTTGTATTTTTAGTAGAGACGGGGTTTCACCATGTTGACCAGGATGGTCTCCATCTCTTGACATCGTGATCCAACCGCCTCAGCCTCCCAAAGTGCTGGGATTACAGGCTTGAGCCACCGCGCCCGGCCCCTCATTGCTATTTTTTAACATTATAAAAACAATACACTGTATACATCGGTATAGCATAATAGCATGCACAATATAATCTTATTTTTAAAATATCCGACATGCATAATACATATATACACAGATATCTGGAAGAAGATAAAGAAAACGGTGAGTCTTGTGTTCCCAGCTTTAGACTTTTTGTTTTGTCATTCTTAATTTGTCTTGTTTTAAGCAACACAAATGTATTAATTTTAAAAACAAAAAAAATTATTTTCAAAAAAAGAGAATACTGTAATTCCATACAAAAGAAAGTTACAGCTTTCAGAAATGCAGGTCTAAATTGAAAATCAGTTCTTTGTTGAGTGAATATGCATGTAATTAGCTGCTTATTTGAGACAAAAATGGTATACATGCCCGTGTTCATCATGATATTTATCTAAAAGGACTAATTCGAGAATGATTATCACACACCAAAGTATGTAGTATTTTACTGAACCTAAGAAGTCATCAATTATAAGTTGCATCATTATTTTATAGGCCATTAGGGAATAAGAAAAATTTCTAAACAAAACATGACATGCGTCTAATTCTGAAATGCATCCTGATTTCCAAGATCTCAGAATGTGAAAATATTTGCACCTTAGACTTGATAAAAGAGTGTCATTCAGCTCCAGTCATTAATGTACTTAGTCATTTATTCAATATGCAACTCCCTTATCCAGAAATAGTCTTCCAATACCCTAACATTCAAAGCACTGTAGAGTTGAATTGAAAGATAGTATATAAAATATTAACTCTGTTCTCAAAAAGGCTGAGGCATAAATCTATGTAGTAATTATAATACAATATTTTCAGGTAGACAGGCCAGCACAATTACTATCTTCCTGGGGATACTGAGGAGGCTTAGTGAAGACCATGTGTATCATCTCCCCTTGAAAAAGGAACATCCTTGTCCAGACACACAGAGGCAGATATGCAAAGGTCCAGTACATCCATCCTCTGCTGGGCTCTCTGAGCCCAGCCCTGTCATTCCATTGTTTTCTAAATGTGTGCCTCACATAGATGAGGTAGGAAAGATTACATCTCAGCCTTGGCTTCAAAAATTAGAGAAACAGTTTTAAAAAGCCTTTTGAAACATTCAGGATTACAAGAAATTGCCTCTGATGCTGGGGTATCTGAAATCAGTGCAAAAGGTTAAAAAAGAAAAAGTGTATAGTCAAATTTGCCCTGGAAAAAAAATAGTAAGTCACCTTAAATTACCACAACTTAAGTATCTAAAGTTCAAAAACGTGATTTTTAAATTTCATTGTTTTGTATGCTTCACGTGATAGCTTTCTTTGCCTTTGGGGGATAACGAAAAAGTTCTTAGAAAGGCAAGAAAGAAAATAAAAGAATTTATTCTATCTCCCTCTCCAGACTCATAGTTGAATTTGCCTAAGTCAAATACCCAAATAATGTGATTCCGCTTCAACCACTTACAGAATTCAAAGAACATAATCACTGAACAGGAGCAATCAAAATAAATACCGTGAACCAAAGGCAAATCAAAGGAAGCCATAAAACTATAGTCATAAACCAAAGGAAGGAGCAGGGATGCATTCGAGACAGAAATCAAAGAACACAATAAAAATTTAAGCTAAATGTTTATATTTTCGATGATTATTTACATTGAAGAAGTGAGCACTGTTTTTAAGATACCCAGATAACATAATGCTAGGCACAGTTAAAAATGAAGTTCCTCCAACCTCTTCTGTTTCTCTTCCACAGATACAAGCACTGTTAACAATTTGGTCTGTATTCTTTTGGATTTTCTGCTTATACATGAGACTATATTATGCATATCAATATTTAAACGTGTTAATATGCTTATCCCTGTCGTGTTTCCTTTTCTGTGACTTCCTCCTTTTCTCACGTGGTGGTTTTGGATTGCTGCAGAAAGAAGAAGAAGGAATAAATATGCGGTTTATGGAACAGGATTCAGGACAGGATTTTTGAGTCCTTAGCAATATAAACGTTTTTAAAAGCCTGGGTTTGTCATGAGATATAATTTTCTAAAATTTAAAATATATAAATGTGTAAACTTTATTAATGTAATTGATCTGATTTTATCATTTTAAAGATACCCACTAGAACGTAGAACAGGCAGGAAGAAGAAACAAAGTCCTCTTCCTTTTTATTTCCAAGTAGAAAGCACTAGGGTAAAAAGATCAGGTTCTTGCCCATGTCTTCCCTGAGTCATTTTCCTGGGAAAGGAAAACGAGAGATGGGTCAAACATTCTTCCCATAAAATGAGAGTATCTAAGACAAATGAGACTATGGTCTCATTTCCATAGGCTGTACTCCTTTAAGTAGATAACTAGGCTTGGAGTCACATTCAGAATTCCATGGGAGCATTAACCAATACTGAAGCGTTGAGCAAAGCCTGCACCTGGTGTCCGCTACAGCACATAGCTTCCATGTTTGAGGCTTCTGCAACAGGGACAAAGGAGCTACAGCATTTGGGAATTTTGTGAAAAAGATGCAAATGACCAGTGTCAGTGTACACTGCTCACAATTAAGGTCCAATATTACATGCTGCCTTCACACCTGGGGAAAACTGAGAGAGCCTCTCCATTTTGCCCTCATAGATAATGTTGCCTAGCCAAACAGCCCTTCTTTTCAGGAGGACAAGGGGCAGTTCTTGGTTCTCTGACAGCTTCTGGAATTTTCAACAAACCAATCACATCCTCCCTCTGGAACGAGAGTACACTGCTCTCCTGATACCACAAAACCTGCCTCATGCTGCCCCTGCCTCCTGCTGCCCCTGTCTTCTGCAGCCCCTGCCCGCTGCAGCCCCTGCTTGCTTACCCTCTTCCTAAGCTGAACACCTACGTGGCCCTGCATGGCCTGTGGCCCCTTCCCCCTGCCCCTTGTGCTACGAGTAGAGTGTAGGTGATTAAGAAATCTTGCCAACTTCATCTGTCCAGTGTTGGTGTTCAGTTATCCCCATAACTTGGGGCAATGGTGTAAATATAAGGTGTTAAAACCCATACTGCCCCCTGTCTTTAGCAGTGAAGGCTGGTACAATGCCTGACCCCAGCAATTCTGGTTGTTCCTTTAAAAAGGTAAATCTATCAATTTAGTGCCACTTCCGTCATTCTCCCAGGTATTTTGGGGTGGGAGGGAGCAGTGAGCAGGATGAGGGAGAATATAGGGAGGGTGGATGTAAAGCTAAAAAAAAAAGAAATCACTAATTTTCACTTCTTTTAAAATATTTTTTTAAGGATAGAAATTTTGAGATAAATGAATTGAGAAAGCTACTACAAGCAAGTACAAATCAAAAATAAAATACAGCAAAATAAAGGATAAGTCCAACAGTACACTATAAGGCAAAAAACAATTCAAGAAAGGAAAATGCATGGGACAAAGAAGATGACTTAATTCTCTAAGAGACAGACTTGAAAATAAAAATGAGGTATTTATGAACTTTTACATTAAATACAATCATTCTCAAGCCCTCCCTCCTTGAGATTATTCCAGAATTAACCTGATTAGAGTTGTGGTGTTTCCCAAATTCCAATTGTATGGTCACAGGCAATCCCTCAGATATCTAATTATAATAAGTATGTGTGTGGCTTTTACTAGTTTATGTCCAAGTGGTAGAGAAGACCCTTATTTTCTCCTCCATTTACTGATAACAGATGTGGGGGTAAAAAAAGTATATGGGTTTTTCTAATGAGAAGAACCTAGGTGGAATCAATCAATCAATCAGTCAATCAATTCATCCATCCATCCATCCATCCATCCTTGAATAGTGTGAACCCAGGCTTCATGGCTTCCATATTTTTTTTTCTGAATAGAAAGAAAGAAAGAAAATAATGAGGAAGAATTGTCTAGTCTGAAATTCTCTTTACCAGTTATGAGGTTACACTGTTAGGTCAGAATACTGCAGAGATGAATCAGAGGGAGTCAAAGGGAGAAAGGAATAAAGAAATACCTTAGATTCACTGGGGCACAGGGGAGGTACAGGTGGCTGCATCGTCCATTTGTAGGACACATATTGTCTTCAGTTGTCATAAATATACTCCTCTTTTGCATTAGTGAAACACGTTCATATGTTTGTTATTTGCTGATGTATTTAACAACAGTGAGAGAAATTGCTACAGGAAACATAACCCTGAAAAGGAATTTTTTAAAAAAGCTTTATCTAGGTTAGATGGCGATTTCGTTTTGAGCAGAGAAAATCCAGAACAGTGGAAGGATCATGCTGGTCTTTTCATCTATGTTCTCCCTTGTGTTGATTCAAGCATCTCTAAGAGTTATTTCAAGAACCATTTTCACACATCCACTGATTTTTGTTTCTTTTTTTAAGCCTTCTGGAAGCTAAACCCAAGCTGTCTATTGCAGCCATGGAGATAAACAGAGAGCTGAAAGCTATCATTTTGAAGTTTTCTCCTCTTTTAACTATTCTTAACAGGATAAAGCTACCCTAACTACATGACAGAATCACCTGGGGAGCTTTTCAAAAATCCTAGATTCTCGGGACACATCTGATTCCAATTAAAATCAGAATCTTGTGAGGTATGCACCAGGCATGGTAAAAGTCAGTGACTTCTGGCAGCAATATTGTCTTGAGACCTAGATTTATGGATTTTTAGGTCATCATTATACGCCCTTATGTTAGAATAGCTTTCTCATCTTTTACAAATATTACCCACT